CCTTTTTTGCCCCTAATTCTTAAACGGTTTGAGCAATAACCCCCCAAAGCAAATCCTAACCATCCCTTTGTGGTATGGAAACTTGTAGTATAATTTCAGAGATCCATACACCGTTCCACAGTTATTGTCTGGAAACTAGAAAATGCTTATTTTTGGCCCCTTTTGGCCCCTAATTCCTTAACTGTTGGTACCATAACCCCCAAAATCAATCCCCACCTTCCTTTTGTGGTATTGAACCTTATGGTAAAATTTCATAGAGATCCATTCACTTAAACTAAAGTTAGAGTGCGAAAACTAATGCGTCTTCGGACGACGACGCCGGACGACGACAATGACGCCAACGTCATACCAATATACGACCACAAAATTTTTTTTGCGGTCGTATAAAAATGCTTATTTGGGCCCCTTTTTGGCCCCTATTTCCTAAACTGTTAGGACTATAACCCCCAAAATCATTCCCAACCTTCCTTTTGTGGTTATAAACCTTGTGTTTAAATTTCATAGATTTCTATTTACATTAACTGAAGTTATTTTCCGGAAACCAACTATCTTCGGACGATGCTGACGACGACGTGATACCAATATACAACCGCAAATAAAATTTGCGGTAGTTTTGCGGTTGTATAAAAATATTAAAAAAAAATTGAAACGATTTGTATCATAAATTTTTTGGAGCAAGCTGCTTTTTCAGTGGGTAGGAAGACAACGTCAAACAATTAAAATTTCATTTCTGATCTTGGATATCTTTGACATCTCTTATTTGCTACATTAAATGTTTTAACACTAATGTTTATTACTTAGCAGACACAACTGCATTTTAACATGCATCACACAGAATATCGGTAATGGGATAAAAGTTTAATATGTATATGTAGCACACAAAGTAGTGAGAACTAATTTCCATGATACCAAAATTAGATTTATATATGCACCATTTTTCGGAATACATGCTTTGTACAATGTACATACAGAATGTCAATGTTCAATCCACTGTCATTTTTTTTTCTTCTTTAAATTTGCAAATAATTAACAAATGGTAGAGTACACATACATGTATATCAATTTATGGCACATATTCTCTTCTTGAAACACTGATAAATAAAAAATAAATCATCTATCATATTAAATAAAATGCTCCATGGAACGCAGCTTGATACAACCGCAGAGGTCGAACCGTGAACAGTTTGGGCAAGTATGGACACTACATTCAAACTTGATACAGCTCTGAATTTGGATTGTGATTAAATATAGGTTTCTGACACAGAATGAATGTGGTCAAAGAACTGAACATTTTGGAATTGGAATTTACCTATTTTGGTCCAATTTCCAAAATCTAAATACACTGTAGGTGGGGCATTAGATTCATATATTCAGCATATCAAAGTACACCAAGAATTTTATTTATTCATTTATTTATTAATGGACAATATTTGCTAAGTTTTTAAAGGGGTTTGCTTCATAAAAAAAATATGTTTATTATATATATATAATATATAGCATTCTGAAAATTAATTCATACAGAATAACAAACAAATTAAACCTTCCATGAAGTTCTTCAAAAAAATTTACCAAAAAAATGAAGAAAAAAAAACAATTTCAAAAATATCATTCATCATTAATACAATGTCTTTAAAAAATCGGTAAAACTTACCTTTAATCATTTTTCAAAATATCTAATAATCATGATTATGAATGGTAAATTTCAAACTATATTTACACATCATGTCTAAAATTAGAATTTGATGCTACCAGGTATATCTATTTTAATATGAATCTACTAATAATTTCTAACAAATGTGCAATACAGCTCTGAATTTGGATTGTGATTAAATATTTTACATACTATTGGTTTCTGAAACAGAATGAATGTGGTCTAAGAACATAAAATTTAGAAATTGGACATTTACCTACATTTTATTATGGTCCAATATCCAAAACCTAAACACATGCATGACATGGTTAGATTCAGCATATCAAAGAACCACAAGAATTCAATTTTTTATGAAATCAAACAGAAAAAAGTTTAATTTTGGACCCTTCAGGCCTCATTCATGTCATTGTGGACCAATTCGATAACAGGCCTTAAAATCTAAAATCTAAATACATGGTAAAATTCAACACATCAAAGAACCCAATATATTCAATTTTTTTTCAAAATCAAACAAAGTTTTATTTTGGACCAACTTGAAAACTAGGCCCAAAATCAAAAATCTAAATAGATGTTTAGATTCAGCATATCAAAGAACTCCTTAACTTCTTTTTTTTGTTAAAATCAAACTAAGTTTAATTTTGGACCCTGTGGACCAATTAGAAAATCAGGCCCAAAATCCAAAATCTAAATACAGGATTAGATTCAGTATATCAAAGAACAACAAGAATTCAAGACTTTAAATTAAACCCCATTGAAATTGGTCAAGAAATAAGCAATGTATACAGTATTAGAAAAGTATTGTTTTTGGACCCTTTTTCCTAAAGGGTTAGGGCCATAACCCCCAAAATCAATCCCAACCTTCCTTTTAAGGTATGGAACCTTGTGGCACAATTTCATACAGAAGTCCATAGACTTATACTCAGTTATTGTCTGGAAACCAGAAAATCTCAGTTTTATGGCACCAAATTCCTAAACGATTTGAGCCATAAGCCCCAACATCAATCCCAATTTTCCTTAGGTGTGGAACCTTGAGGTACAATTTCATAGAGATAGATACACTTACACACAAGTTACTGTCCTGAAACAAGAAAAATGTTGACAAAGTCATATTATAGAGTCTGTTTACCCGGGTGGATTAATAATGAAAACAACATTTTATTAAAATATACTAGTCAGCTGGGAATGGGTAAAAACAATGAATGTACAAATTGTAAGACATGAAAGGGAAATTTTTTATAAACCTATTCCTTTATATGGTAAATATAAAAAAGCGAAAGATTTTCTACTCAACATGTTAAAACACAAGTCGCATGCAAGTTGTTGGTAAGTAAACATACTCATCTAGAAGCAGCAATACAACATACATATTCTGCAAAATTTTCGAATCTATTCAAATAATATATACATTTTAATATGACGGCCTATATATCGTCCATAAGTATAATCATAATATCATGAATATATTTACTTTTAGTGCAAACGCATTAAAACACAAAATTGGCTGTTGCCCATTACACCCATCTTATTTAAACGACCAAATACAATAAAGTTATCTCTATATATGTTGTAATGCAAAATAAACAAACCAGTCCATTGCAGTTACAATGTATATCGAGTGAAAAATTTCATAAAACGAAAATATTCTGAGATATGATGTTGTTGTCTTAGTCAACTTAACAATGTGACATCATATGTATGCTTCCAGCGTCAAATGTAAACACCAGGCCTTAGAAAATAATATTAAACACAGTCTGCACCAAAATCTTTTCCAACTATTAGTCCGAAGACCAATATCCTAACATTTTTCTTATGTGTCTAAACAAATTTTTGCAAATACTTACTAGTAAGAATAAAATTTTACTAGTCTGGTTCATTGGACTAGTGGCTAATGGTGCAGACTGTATACAAATAGATAAAAAGAACATTTTAAGGTGAAAAATGTTTTTTTTTGTTAATCTACATGTATTATTGAATGATATAATATCATTATATGGGGGTTAAACGAAACAGTGTGTGGTTAGGGCTTTCACTGTTTACAAAATTACCAAATTTGTCCTATTAGAATCAAACTATTTTCATGGCAACCAGTGATTTGTTTTCATTTAACTATGGGTTGGGCATTTATATTCATATTTTTTCCCTCGCTTTTGCTTAGGATAAAATAATTGAATATTAATACCCAACCCATGAATAAATGAACACACATCTATGGCTGCCATGAATTATTTCTTAATTATACAACAGGACAACAAAATAAGATTAAAATCATGGCGAAGGAACTCAGGGCGAACGGGCCCAGGGCAAAAAGGTACAAGGATCCAGATTCAAAAATCAATATTAATGTATTTAATCGAATTATTTAACGTAGCAGAGGGTCCTTTTCCCTATTCAGTTCACATGCTACCATGCCCATGGCATATGCCAATTTAGTTTGTGGGCTTGCGGATCTCTCTTCAAATTCAGTTTACATGCTCACATGTTCTTTTCTTTGCTAGAATACCGCCGGTTTCAATCCATTACATTTATCTTATGTTAAAAATATTTACATGAACTACATGTAATAAAAAAAAAATAATTTACTCCGTAAAAAAGTTATTATCATATAAACATGATAAATAGATATAGGAAGATGTGGTATGAGTGCCAATGAGACAACTCTCCATCCATTGAGTTACAATTTATAAAAGTAAACCATTATAGGTCAAGGTACAGCCTTCAACATGGAGCATTGGCTCACACCAAACAGCAAGCTATAAAGGGCCCCAAAAAATTACTAGTGTAAAACCATTCAAATGGAAAAACCAACAGTCTAATCTATATAAAAACGAGAAACGAGAAACATGTATGAACTACATAAACAGACGACAACTACTGTAATCAGATTCCTGACTTAGGACAGGTGCAAACATTTGCAGCGAGATTAAACGTTTTATTGGTACCAAACCTTCTCCCTTTTCTGAAACAATAGTATAACATCACAACATAGAAAAACACACTATAAAATATCAATTGGAAGGCTTAACTCAATCAAAAAACGTAAATTAACACACAATGAACAAATAAATTTGATCGGTGACACCTGAATGCAAATACACAGTTAATAAAAAATTACAAGGGATAAATAATTAAAGTCAAGAGTAAGTAAACAGGTTTAAACAAAGTTAAAGTATGATATCACTGTGAAATGTCAAAAAAAATTTAGAAAATCATCACTACCAGATACATAGTGTATATATATGTTTCTAGTTAAGGTAAACAAAAATCTGTATAAATCTAATAAAACGATCCTAAAACAAAAACAGAGTGAATGGGCTGTCAGAACACTGTCAGACACTGTACCATGCCATACCTTTTGTTTCTCTTTCTAGTGAACCTTTGCTTCTATGTTTGCCATGTTTGTGTCCTTTATTTTGTTGTTTAAAAACACCAGGTCTGTGTGTTTGTTGTGTATCTGCTGCCATTTTCAGCTTTTTAATGAACTAAGAGTCCTGTCAACACCATGAACACGTGCTGTTGGAATTTTGAGACTAAATTTAGAACTTTAATGTTGTAAGGGGAGTTAAATCAAGAAGAAAAGTACTCGACAGATTTATATCGCTTGTGAGAACGTGGGTCTCACTAATTAGCGACAAGAAGGGTCAAGAAGCGACAAGAAGCGACAAGAAGCGTCAAGAAGCGACAAGAAGCGTCAAGAAGCGACAAGAAGCGACAAGAAGACTATTTAGCGACAAGAAAACATTTTTTTCCATTAAGATTACTTATTCCAAATAAATATTAAAAAATATGCATTTCATTTTTTTTTTAATATATGTGCAGGAATAAATTGATATTTTTTTTTTATTATATTGATAGATGAAGAAATTAAACATTTGTGAGGAAGAAAGGGATTGTGTAGTTTTTTTTATTATATTGATAGATGAAGAAATTAAACATTTGTGAGGAAGAAAGGGATTGTGTAGTTTTTTTTATTATATTGATAGATGAAGAAATTAAACATTTGTGAGGAAGAAAGGGATTGTGTAGTTTTTTTTATTATATTGATAGATGAAGAAATTAAATATTTGTGAGGAAAAAAGGGATTGTGTAGTCCCAGATACGCTTTGAATTATATTGTAAGCGTGTTTACATTCATATCTAACACAATCGTTATACACTATGTACATGGTGGTTTACCAATTTTTGAAGATGCTTTATTTGTAGAACTCTCAGCCACGCTTTGCCATCTTTATTATGTAAGCGTGTTTTCAGACCACACGACGAGGACGTGGTTCTACCTTGGGATCCATATTTTTTTTTTTTTTTTTTTTTTTTTTTATTTTGTAGTCATTATAGTAATATTTACATTCATATCTAACATAATCTTTATATACATTTTTTACATGGTGGTCCCATTTTGATAAGCCGTAGATTTTTTTACCACTAAGGTTCACTGTATTTTAGCCCTTTTTGAAGATGTAGTTTTTGCACTTTTAGTACGTTTCCTTTGACAAGGCTTACGTGCACATGCACTTGTTTTGGGGATTGTCAGCCCACCATCTGTTTAAGTGGTGGACTCGGGGTTTGCGTTTAACTTTCTCCCATAGGTCAAGATTTTTTGCATTGCAAATGCCTTTTCTTTCTCCGATTTAATCTGCCAGAGAGATTTTTGTGCATTGAAAATGGCTTACTGAGGAGCTTAGCTCAAAGTCTCCATGTCCATAAAATGCGCCATTGACAAGACTTTTTTGCAACTTTATTTCTTTGTGTATTTTATTAATCAACTCTGGAAGTTTCTTAGGCTTCCAATCTTGATTAAGTTTCAAGATGTGATTAATTGATTCACAATTGTTGCTTTTCCATTGCAATGGAATTCTTGACTCTGTTTTTCGTGCATTGTACACGTAATCCCTAATAGTAGGACTAACTTTTTTTTTTAAATAATGTCCTTTGATATTTAAATGAGTTAAGTCACATGGTACAATGAAACAGGTTTAAAACACATGTCTAATGTTTTTGTTTTGAATGGAAGGCTGTTACACTATTCATACTTACTCCATCAAGTATTTTATATAGAAAAAAATAGAAGTAACATAGAGACCTAATGGGTAACTTTTTTGATTATTGGCCCAAAATTATGATATTCATAGTCAGAGTGCGTATATATCATACATTCACATACATCAAGAAAAAAATGTTTATTTGCAAAAATGAGTTTTTAAGAATTTTCCGAAGATATATAGAAGTCAAACGGACTATAATACTATATTTGTACCATTTAAAAACAGGAACCAAACCAACACCCCGTTGACTTTTTAGATTTTAGATTCATTGTTCGGAAAATCTTATTTTAAAAGATAAGTTTTTTAAACCATTTATTCTTTTCTGGAAAAAATCCGCATGATCCCTCTGTCTTTGACTCTTTAAATTTTGAATAAATTTTTTGTTCAGAAAATCTTATTTTCAAAGATTCTGGAAAATTTCTAATAATGAGGAAAAAAGTATTCAAATAGGACTGAGACTATTATAATGTGTAATAGTAGTTTCAGAATAGAAGAAATATGTCTGTACATGAAAAAGTAGTTTGAAAAAGTAGTTATTGTAATAGATTCTATAGATATAAGAAGATGTGGTATGAGTGCCAATGAGACAACTCTCCATCCAAGTCAAAATTTATAAAAGTAAACCATTATAGGCCACAGTACGGTCTTCAACACGGAGCCTTGGCTCACACCGAACAGTAAGCTATAAAGGGCCCCAAAAATTACTAGTGTAAAACCATTCCAACGGGAAAACCAATGGTCTAATCTATATAAAAAACGAGAAACGAGAAACACTTATGAACCACATCAACAAACGACAAATACTGAACATCAGATTCCTGACTTAGGACAGGTGCAAACAAATGCAGCGGGTTTATGGCCATTTAATGATATTTCTAATCTCTGGTATTACCAGTCTCTGGTCTTATCAAGCCGAATTTTACTTCATTTATGAACGTTATGGTGCGTTATTTTTTTACACTTTTAATGGTACTTTGTTTACCCTTGTTAGTTTCTGTAAGATTATTGTTATGGATAGTGATGTTGGGCTGCACACTACTAATTATTTTCAATGCTACAAGCGTTTGCATAAAAAATGAAATAAATAAAAGAATGAGCGACGCAAACGCCAGCGATCCACTTCAAAATGGAACAGATTTACAACAAACAAATAAAGGCCCCACGCAGTCAACGACAGGAGAAATGTCACGACCAAACAACTTACAAAGAATTGCACAAAAGAAAGCTATGGTTCGGGGATACCCCAGGAACAAAAAATTGGAAAAGCTAGCTGTATATTCATCTTGCAAGGTCCGTTTCAGTTATTCGATTTCTAAATTCAGTGTTTCATGTATATGGATTGGAAGGCCAAAATATAACATGTATATGCTTGTGTTTTGGCTTACACGCTGAAGCCTTATTATTTTTTGCGAATCTGTGTGCATAGAGATGTTCTGATTTGCCTGCATATTGAATCAGAAAATCGCTGCAAACCCAGAATCCCAAAAGGGATGAATCTAGGTCTGTTCACCCAAAATCATGTTCGCTCCCATTCTCGTTTGCCCCCCTTTCACTTGCACACCCCACATGTTCGCACCCTGGATCTGTTCGCACCCTTGTTTAAGGTTATGTTTTGAATAATTTTTCAATCATGCTTTAGTTAGTGTATTGCAGAAGCAAGACAATTCGCCCCACTGCCAAATCACTCCACTTTTCCACAAACTCGCCCTATTTTCTTCTAACTAGCACCATTCTGTTTACCAACTCATCCCAATTATGAATAAGGGTTAAATCTCGATGAATTAAGGTCTGACAACTCGCCCCACTCAGTGTTCTCCCCAGGATTTTTTTATAGCGCTGTGGTAAGCGACCGATTTTCGACAATTCTCAGTAACTTTGTCCCGGTGAGTGGTTGGTTTGTAATGGGTTTGTTATGACATGTATGATGTTTTTATACAAAATGATGCTGCTGATGTTTTTGCTTGTAATGATGTCCTGATGGAAATTACCCAGTTGTTTTTAAATGTTATTGTTTTAAAATAGATGAAGAATCATTTCTATCTGTGTACAAAACCCAAGGAAAAGTTTTTTTCCATGAAGGGTCAACACTAGACTGGCGATTTGAAGATTTCTTAACAGGTGATGCTGTAGAATATGTAGGACCACAGGCACTTGTTTTCTATCCATGGCAAGATCTACTATCCCTTTACAGTAGATCTCGCCATGGATAGAAAACAAGTGCCTGTGTGTAGGACCCACTATCACGTCTTTTGTCAGTTTCTGTGTTGGGTTTTGTAACCCACTGGAGCAGTGTACTATTAACCTTACGATGTTTGACAGGAGTTGACATTTGGGAACATTATGATTTCTCTACTACTAAACTTATGATTTCTCTACTACTAAACTTATGATTTCTCTACTACTAAACTTATGATTTCTCATTTTCCTGATCACCATTTACATTCGTATGGCTTCACCCAAGCTGGACATTGAGAAAAGTGAATTTCTCAAGTCTAGTACTGGCTTGGGGTTTGTTTTTCTAATCATAGCCTCCTAATTGTTTTCAAATGGTAAAATGCATAACTGTAGTATTGCTGATTAAGCAATTATTAGTTCGATTAGGTGATGATTAATACTTCAAAGACTTGCACATTGAAAATTTGATTGCTGTTTAAAATTTAAGAGTGTTGTCGGTAAATGGGGTCACTTTACTTCATCTTATTCCATTCTTATTGCTTCTTTATATTCTTTTTTATTAAAAAAATGGATGATACTGTTGATTTCTTCATTTATTTCGATTTTCAAAGACACCATTTTGTAAAATTTATAAAACTGGTCCCGCGAGGTTACTTTATACAACGCAAATAACACATTCAGAAATAGTAAACCAGACGATCATGTGATCTAAATAAAAGATGAGCAGGAAATTTGAAAAAAAAAAAAAAATCGAAAAAAATATAGCCACGCGATTGATTTAGATAGCGCTGCGCTCAGTTCAATAGAACAGCGGAAAATTGCGATAGCGCTGAATACCGCAGCGCTAAAACGACCTGGGGAGAACACTGCCACTTATGAAAATAGTAAAATCCTGATGAATTTAGTCCTGTCAACTCGGCCCACTTGTGAAAAAGGTTGAAATTCTGATTAATTTAGTCCTGCAGCGCCAACTTATCTCACTTATGAAAGGTATTTTAATTTACACAATCTCCCAAACTGTACTGCTAAATTAACAATAGAAAAAAAACCCACTTGTAATACAAATAAAAAAAAAAGTAAATATATGATTCTGATTGAAATTAAGTGACGCTTTTCATAAGTGGGGCGAGTTGGTGAAAAAATTGGGGCGATTTGGCAGTGGGGCGAGTTGTCATGGATTCTTCATGAACTGCTAGAAAATAAAGATAACAAGTTTGTTTATTGTTTAAAAAAAGTGACATTCTATAAAACGTAAAACGGGTTTTGTAATGTGAATTATTTTGATGAAATGAATAATGAATATTGTCATAATGATGATCAAAGGCCAAATCATTAGTCTCTAAGACTAGTAAAAGAAAGGTGGAAAATACCAAACGGCTATCAAACTAATCACATTGACATTGCATTTGACAACAACAAATAAAACAAAAACTGATCTACAAAGCACATGCTAATTAGGTGCATTACCATGAGGGTTTGGATGGGGTTAACAGAAAAGAGAATAGTGGACAAATACTACAGACAAATGGGCCCCAAAAATAAAGAATAGAGAGAAATAGGCCAAAAAAAATAAAAGTACAGAATATTAATCTGTTAATGTGGTGATAAAATATAAGAATAGAGAAAAATTTTTAAGAATACAGAAATGAAGGACCCAACATCCAGACCCTCTACCATGTTTGGCACTTTTGTATATGATATATATATATACTTGTCCAAACACATGAGATCAAAGGAGCCAAGCTGATAAAATCTTCATTGTTTTTACTCCTACCAAGACAACTACTTGTATTTTACTTTTAATACACCAAAGCTAGTTATTAAAGCAGTCATTATTTTCAAACACATAACAATAATGACAAATTAGCTTTGAAAATACTAATTCATAGTAATCTTAAATAATCAACATTTGTCATTTATTTAATTAATCATCTAATCACCCAAAACAAATTTTCATTAAAAAAATTCATGAATTTGTATTAATGAAAATACAAATATTTTGATATTTACATCTGAAAATACATCAATAATTCAACCTGTATATGAATAAAAATATGGTTCAAACTTGTTGGGTGTGAACAAACCCAGGGGGGCGAACTTCTGGGGTGTGAACGTATAGCGTGCTAATGTGTTTTGGGAGTGAATGGACTGGATACCAAAAGGGACTAGCTGGAAAGAATAAGGATACATAGGCAAATAATTGTATTTTTCAATCATTTTTTAATTAAGGTTTATCATAACAAATGGACAAATGTAATTGTGGTAACACATAAAAAATTACTGTGTACAAATTAACCTCTTTTTTTAGCACATCTGTTCCAAAGAGCTTTTCTCATCACTTTGCTTCTGTCGTCGTCCGTCATTATTAATTTTTACAAAAATCTTCTCCTTTGAAACTACAGTGCCAAATGTAACCAAACTTGGCCACAGTCATCATTAGGGTATCTAGTTTAAAAAATTCATAAGGGTTCCCCGGAACCCAGTGTCTCGCCTACTTTTGCTGTTAATCGCAGGCTCAACAAAAATGAGATGAGGAAAAAATTTAATAAAAATATTCCTCTCAATACAATTTTTTTATTGTAAGAAGCTTCTGTCCAAGTTGGGTAAAAATCCAGGATAGTTTATGAATCTAATGAATGTTTTAAAAAATTTAACTGCAGACTGTATGTAATGTTAACTGGAAGAAAAACTAATTATGTTCTAATTCACTTGTTCAAACGAACAAAGTATTTATGTGCACATCGCTTCTCAATTTCTGAAACCTTCTTCAAACCTAACTTGTATACTATATCATTCTTGGTATAAAATAAGAAACACATTTCTGATTTTGTCCATCACGGTGACCATGTCATTTTATTAAACATTGTACAAGCTAAATCATCATTTCACTGTCCACAAAAACATTGGATTCACTGAATGCAAATACATAACGTCCACTAAATTAAATTTTTTATAGTACACTGGCATTACAGAATATCTAAAAACAAACAAATATCATAATTAGTACACATCCAATTGATCTCTGAATTACATTACAATTCTACACTACTGTAAATGTGTCTACACTGTAGTAGTAATCAACGTGGTCACCGCCTAACCTCGATAACTGAAAAAACAGGATCCTTTTCTTATATACTACCCGCGAAATCCAAACCGGTTCTTACCCTAGGTACTACGCGACTAAAAATAACTACGCGTAGAGCACATAAATATATGTCCATTTATAAGTAAAATATGGATAAACAAGTACAAAATTTTAATAAAAATTTCCTTCTAGAAACTAGCTTTTGATCATAAACAAACTTCTGTCCATGTTTGGTACAAATCCAGGATAGTTTAAGAAAGTTATTAAAATTTTTATAACTTTAACCACAGAGTGAATGTAATGTTTCCTGGCAGAAAAACTAAGTCCATTTATAAGTAAAATACGGAAAAACAGGATTTTTTTTTTTACAAAATTTCCTCCTAGAAACTAGCTTATGATCATAAACAAGCTTCTTTCCAAGTTTGGTAGAAATCCAGGATAGCTTAAGAAAGTTATTAAAATTTCAAAAACTTTAACCACAGAGTGAATATTTGTTGACGCCGACGACAACGATGCCGATGTAGGATGTAGGATCGCTATGTCTCGTTTTTTCGACAAAAGTCGATGGCTGGACAAAAATGTGTCTGATGATCTGGCCAACTATTATCTTATTAGAGTTATTGCCCTTTAATGATGATTCTTATCAATATTTTGCATTTTGTCTAATATCTGAAAAACATTAATAGATAGATAGAAATTTAAATTAGCAAAAATGATCAGCAAGATGAGATCTACAAGTAAGTTTACACATCATTGAAATCATGTGACGACTCCTTATTGGAGTTGCCCTTTAATGATGATTTAATCAATTTTTTGCGTTTTTTTCTATTATCTGAAAAACTACAAAATATGTAACAGATAGATTAAGTTTTTTAAACAAGCAACAGTGATTAAAGAAGCCAAGCTGTGAAAGCTGAAAATAAATTCACCTTGTTTTACATTCCCTTAAAAGTCATATATATATGCTGATTTATTTGTTCAAGATTCAAAATATTACTTGGTTATTGAAATAAGCATTATTAACTCCAAT